AAGATAGAGAGAGTGTGTTAGGTTGCTTTAAGAAGATGGGGGGTAACCCCTAGCAAATAACAATTGAAGAAAGAAGGAAAATACAGGAAAGCCCAGAGGGTACATAGAGTCTAAGTGGTACACCTACGGGTTTCTAGTATATCTAAAGCAAACCCTAACCCAATAAAATATAGCTTTTAATAATAAATTATTAAAAATAAAAAAATATATAAAGAAAAACAAGCACAATAGCTATGTATAAAATATAATGTCTAAAGTCGCAGTGAAGGGTGGTGGAGTGAGACAGGGACGATGCTGCAGCTGTGAAGATTATTTAGCTCATATGTAGCCACCCTTTACTTTTATCTTTACTACATAGTTTATTAGATGTTCAGTTAGAATTCAAATCTAACGCCAGTTGTTAGTCTAATACAGAGGAGTTGGGGGCACTTAATTACTACGGTATGACTGGACGATAGGAGCAGGGAGTGAACGCTGGGCTACTGAGTATAGTCTATACCTTAACCCTATTATCCCTGAATCACCTGTGCCATTACTGGACAAATGTGACACCTCTCAATTTATATCTATATCATGCCTTCCTCTTCCTCCTACTAGTTAGTATTAACTTTAGACATTATATTTTATATATAGCTATTGTGCTTGTTTCTCTTTATATATTTATTTTTATTTTTAATCATTTATTATTAAAAGTTATATTTTATTGGGTTAGGGGTTGCTTTAGATATACTAGAAACACGTAGGTGTACCACTTAGACTCTATGTACCCTTTGGGCTTTCCTGTATTTTCCTTCTTTCTTCAATTATTAACATGAAGTGGTTTTGGTGCTTAGAGTGTACATTTGATATTTATAATAATTACATTTGTGATTTATTTTTGCATGATATAATAATAATGATATAATAATATAGTGAGACTACTAGTGAAGTAATAGTTTGAATTAGCAAATGTAGTTGAATTAGTAATTAGCAACTTAACCCATTATGAATTTGAGCAAGTCATTACAGGATATTGCTTATTACAAGGGTTTGATTAAACATGTAGAATAACAAAATTATTTAATTCTTTAGCTTATTCTTTTGATCTTTCAAGCCAACCTATTTATTTATTAATGCCATTTATAAAGTGCCAACATATTCCGCAGCTCTGTATAAGTAGGAAAAGATAAACACAATAAGAATAGACCGAAACAACAGGTAGAGTACCCTGCCCGTAAGCTTACAATCTAAAGGTATGGTTACATACCTGAACCCTGAACCCAGCCCTCTTCTCCTCCCCCGCCCACCCACACACCACACACACAAAACCTTAGGCTTTTGGTCCTTGACCAGATTTTGGTCCTTAATCATATTCCCGGATTGGTTAGAATACCCTACCGATTTCTCTAGGCTAAGAAGTGTCACAGTAAAATTCCAGAAAGACCAAAACACATGCAATTGGAAACTAGCGCTACATGGGCTAATGTAAAAGGCCTAATGCATGCTCTTCATGTTTTACTTTAACCACTTGCTAGAACAATATATAAAAAAAAAATAACATATGAAATATTCAATTACTCAATATTCTATAAATAGCAGAGCAAACAATTGATGAAGAATGTCTACAATTGGGTGAAACATGTAGAATTTTAATGTACTGTATTTTTTTTTGTTTTTTGTTTTTTTTGTTTTTATTTATGTAGTTATTCTTGCTTATTCTTCCAGAAAAAAGTCACTGGATGTTGGAAAACGACTATAAAGTGAAACATCCCATTAAGAAGAAGAAAAAGAGCAGCTTAAAACCAAGTGAAGTCCCTGAAGTGGTATAGGCTGACAGCATACAGAAGAGAAAGGGACAGCTCCTCCTAAGCCTGTTGATCAAGGATCGGATGTCTATTGGAAGTGATATTGGGAGTCATTGTAAATGAAGGATGAGCTGAACTAAATGTTAGCCATTGATCAGTAAAGAAATCCTTCAGTCATGACAATAAGCACTGTTGACAGACTGCATCCCAGTGAAGTGACTTTGGCACCTTATGTTATTCCCTCATTGCGTGACTATAAAATGAAGCATTGCTTCTGTCAGGTACTGAAAGCAGGAGATAAATGGTGTGTTAACTAAAATGTCCAATATTCCAACCATGTATTTTTTAAGTGCATTCCGATATACTTGTGTTTATTTATAGGTTATGTGCATTTCAGAAAAAATATGGTATACATCTATTTTACTAATTACTCATTATGTATATAAATTCTAATATGTTCTATTAACAATGGCTGGCTTTGTTTTTTTACTGGAAAAAAACATTGAATATTATTTTCAGTTTTTCACTTTGTTATTATATATAAATTTCAATAAATAACTGAACCGAAAAATCTCAAAATACACAATTATTGAAATCCAACACATTTGAAGAATGATACAAATAAAAAGTGATCGAATTTCCAATACTTTGTGTTGTACCAAGATGAAAAAAATGGATAGATTGTGTGGCTTCGTATTTGCAAATACTTGTAAACACGTTTTGTAAGTTGCATTTTATGAAGCTTTATAAATAAATTAATGATGGCTGGTTTTGGTTTGTACTATGCTATAAATGGCATGTGTTCAAGTATTGTTGTCACAGGGAATTTCAAAAGAAACTAAATTCTATTTCCCGCAAATACTCTTTTTGCAACCAGACAAATGTAGCTCTCCAAGTTGTAGAAAATGTCAGTCTCTGTAACTAAACAAGAATTAACTCTTTGTGTTTCTTGTTACTAGCTCTGGAAATCGTTACCAGTGTAAATCTTTACTCATTAGTCAATATGTCAATATGGACAGTAAAAATGGGAAATCTGGAAGAAGATCTGGTTTCACCACAGACCGCAATTATTGCATATATAAAAACATGTAAGAATATGTAAATGATTTAGTCAACCAGAAATGGTAACTTATGGCTTGCTTTGTTGGGAATAAAAAAAAATAATAATTATATAATTAATTCTTAGGTATATTATGTATATAACATATATTTAAAAAATTAGTAAGGAGGATGGAAAACATTAGTTATGAAGAAAGGCTAGAAAAACTGCATTTGTTTTCTTTAGAATAAAGGCACTTCTGAGGGGACATGATAGCACCATACAAATATATACAGGGTCAGTACAAACTGCCATGCTCTAGCCTGTTAATTAGTAGGAATATATTAAAGACAAGAGGCTTGAAGAAAGGTGAGACATGAAGACAGGTATTTTCGCTTACAGCAGTGCAAAGATTTCTGTACAGTAAGAACAAAAAGATGTGGAATTCTCTACATTTAAGAGGTAGGCTTATGAGATATTATGGATATTTTTTTTTTTTTTTAAAGGCTTGGATGCCTTTTAGCAAAAATAATATGTTGATCCACAGAGAAATTCCAAAATTCTAAATTCCACAATTGGAAAAAAAATAGCCTTCTTTTGGATCAACAGCTTAAAATAATGGGTTTCAAGGTTGAATTTGATGGAATTTGGTCTTTTTTTAACCTAGAGTGCTATGTAATTATGGTATGAAAATAAATGTATTATTTAAAGATGTAAGTGACAATTAAAATAAATCCCAAAAAACATGAATGATTAAAGAAACGTTCCAAGTACCATAACCACTACAATACACTTACTACAGTGGTTATTGTGTCACAAGTGCCCTGGCAGCCCTGCATTGTAAGAAAATAAACTAAATTTTTTACAGCAGTTTGACTATTTAACTGGATTCTACTGGGCACTGCTACTCACCTCCTCTACAGCTCACTGAGCTAAGTCCTGAAGTGCAAGACTAGCACAATGGCTAAAACATCAGGTGATTACTCTCAACCAATGAGCTAAGCCATGCACAGCCATGAAGGAGCTTCCGGCTCTTACTGAAAAGTAGTAGAGATGAGGAGTTGTGTCTAATAGACCCCTCCCCAAGTAAGAAGTGAAATCAATTTAAAATGGTTTGATCCCTTACAGTGTGTGGAGGGATTCATGGGCACATCTGGAGAAATAACTGTTACAATGAACTGTATTGGTTATGTTATGTGGAGTGTTCCTTTTAGTTAATGACTGTGACGGTCACCCCTGAGTAGTCAGGGTATTTACCCCTAGATGTCCTTTTCCCCAATCTGGAACGGCGCTGTGGAGTCCCAATACGACATCCTAGTATACTGCTATGATAAGCAAGTTCCTTAGAGCTCTGAGAAGAGCTAGTGATTACAGCAGGTATAGCATTTCCCTACAACACGAGATGAGGCTGCGAGTTGAAGGTAAGAAGGTCTGAGAGTTTAATGACACAGGCTGGATTTTTATACAATTCCTCAGGCCAGGGGAATACCCCCTGGAGCTGATGGAGCACCGAATTACAAGATGTACAAACCAATAGAAACCATGTACAATGTCTGACACTCCAACATACAGCACACAATCCCTCCCCTCTACCTGGGAGATAATTGAGCAAGATACTGTAATTAACTCGATTATTCCCAAGCAGAAAAAAACACCTTTTTCACAAAGTACAGAAACAACCCAAAACATCACATATCCCCATAAATGTTATATCCCCCCTGATCTGGGTGACCAACATATGCAAAAATCACCCAGATCAGGGGAGGGGTTCAGAAAATTCCTGGAAGTCCTTATTGACCAACCGCACGCATGGTTTCATGTCCAAAACAGTTCCAGAGAATTAGGCTGTGCGGTCAGTTTATTTCCAATGATGAAGTGTTCTTCAAATAGTCTAACGGGACCGTTCGTGCACAAAGTCAGAGTTGAAGTGTTTTCAGTAGATTACTATTAGTTCTAGCGGTGTTCGTGTTGTTGAGTGTCCGATTTTAGTTCCATGCACTCAACTACAAAACACCGCTGGCCGCATTCGACTAAACAAGATGGCCACTGCCACGTGTTCAGCTATATGAATGGTGACCATTCGTCAATTAAGCTGCGGTTAACCACAACTTCAATGAGGTTAACAAGCAGCACACTTCCAATTATGTGTGGTCCTGTACTTCGGCTGTTCGACGGTTCAAAGTACCACTTCGAATTACTTCGACAGGTCGAAGTGGTATTGGTAAAAGTCCCAGCAGGCAGAAATAATGTCCTAGAACCAAATAAGTCACAGGGGCCATAGTTCCAAGGTAAAATACTGGCAACTTGTCCTCTCCATAACCCAGGCGAAGTGGCCTTCATTACACAGAAAAGGGGAAACACTATAACCACTGCAGAAAAGGGGAAACACCATAACCACTGGGAAAACAGAGGGCTCCTGTTACAATGACAAAAAAATAAGTAAATATTGATCACTTTCTTATTAATTCATATTGTATAATTATTACACTACTTTCCACCATTTTCGGAACAGAACACTTTGATAAATCTCCTCTATGAAAATATATCACCAAAGCTTCAATATTAGCTGCTAAACTGAGTTTGTGGTTTCTCTTTAAAACACGATCAGTTTTTCATGGCTTGACCCTGGCTCACTCTACCTGTCCATGACACATGGCTTTGCATAATGCATAAATATATAGATAGATATGTTCATCATACATAAGTCATGTGTCATGGACAGGTAGAGTGAGATGGAGTCATGTAGATGAAATTAGTATCTTGTAATATCTTTTTTGACTGCACTAATAGAATATATATATATAATGCTTACATGTTCTTGTTAACGATGGATATAATTTAATTTGCATTTAATACATATCTTATTTAGTGGAGATTGATTGTTAACAAGATGGTCATTCTTTATATATAAAGGTCTGAGGAAGAGAGGAAAACTCTCAAAAAATTGTCTTTAGAGTAATATGCTATTCCAATAAAAAAGGTATTATTGCATAATGCAATACTTTGGTATTTTGGCATATTATCTACTGGACTAATATGATGATATAATCCAAAGTAGATAGATAGATGTAGATAGATAGATAGATAGATAGATAGATAGATAGATAGATAGATAGATAGATAGATCTCACTCTAGCCTGACACACAGTTTATGTATGATAAATAGATGGATACATTTTGAATGGATGTATGGATATACTACTCAGGGATAATGTGATCTAGTACATTTTTTTAGCTGTATATGGCAATATTATCACTAGAATGTGCTTTTAACAGGTACTTTGTATAAGACTGCTACTGAACAAGCACCAAAAGACAGCATGGCAATCGACTGAGGTATTCAATTGGTTTCAATGACCGATTTCATAGTTTTGCTTCAAACATTTGACCCATAAGATAGATTTATCAAGAAAACAGCTGCCAAACAAGTAATTGGCTTAGAAGTTACTGATTTTGTGCAAACATGACATCATACATGCGTGCTTTATTTTACTCTCATATAATTCTGTAGGAGGACAACGCTTGGATGAGATATCTCGACCACTTAATTCATGCTTTCTTGGTCATAGAAGGAAAATCAGTGCTCAGACATTTGCTGCACAACTGCCTTTCAGAGACCTGATTGATTAATAGGTCCATTGAATGACTTTATTGCATTATGTTCAAAAAATCGCGAACCCACGCTGAAGTGTCCCTTAAAGTCCACACTGTACAGTATAAGAGAACGCCATTCTCTGGCAAATGGATGGTCTAACTTTTAATCATTATACCCTAAATGTGAATTCACTCTAATTACATCGAAGTTTTGTGTTAAGTGACCTAATTAAATGAAGCGAGGTTAATAGTAAACGAATGGAAATGCTGCAATAACACTTCCTGTCACTTATTCACCTAGATAGAGATGCATTCAGTAGCCACTTCCACTTCTTTCCTGTCCCCTTTCATAGACACCCTCTTTACCAAGAATGTCTGCAGCTGTTCCTGCTGAGTGTCCTCCATTCAAGCAAAGTGAAGCAAACAGCAGTTGACAAAGCACCCCTTCCCTCTCCCAGCTGGTTATGAAATCTACAGAAATACCCATTGTTTGCCTTTTCCAGCTGTAACACAAGATGTCATGCCAGGCAACTCCATTATATGAAATATGTACTTCCTGAGAACAACGCTTTTGATGCAAACAAGCACATTGCATTTTGCTGCTTTCACCGGAACACTGGAGTGAGTTTTGTCTAAAAGCATTCCAGGGCACGGAGTATGGCAAGTCAAAAAATATTTTCTAAACAAGAACTAATGTTAAAGAAAAAAGAAAATAGTTTCAGAATGTATGTGTACGATATACCACATTCCAACCCAAGTTTATTCCACCTGATTTGAAAGTTTTCATTCCTTTGGGGT